ATATATATATATATATATATATATATACTAGCTGATCCCGCAAGTAAATAAAATAAAAATCGCTATTTAAATATAGGGGTTGGTTATAGAGGGGTGAAAATTTAAGGTTATATGTATTTTTTATAGCCACATTATATTATAAAAATATAAAAATTTTGAACAAAGAATAAAAAAAATATTAGAAGTGGACAAGTGGCATCATCACTTAGGAGTATGAAAAATAAAGTAGCCGATTCTCAGACCTATTGAATATGGATATAAAATTTCATAAAAATCTGTCAAGCCGTTTGTAACACGAGAATTTTATATATAAGATACCGAATATTTAAGTATTGTATATAAATGTTTGCATTATTTATATTTTAGACTAGCTGTACACGCGACTACGTCCGCGTGAAATGTAACTTTATTTTTCTAATATATTTTTTTTTTCCGAAATAAAAGTAGCCTAAGTTATTATTACATCAGCTACCTCTCAATGAAAGTCCCGTCAAAATCTGTTCAGCCATTTCAGAGATTCTGGCTAATCTCAAATATTGTTAAAAAATATTATCTTGGTGTATATGTACCGTATTTATATTCATATGCATGTAATAAAAAATGGTTATTTCAGTATTACAAACAGACACTCCAATTTTATTTATATGTATAGATAACCAAACGATTCTTCTTCTTTATGTGCTCTCTCCTTCTGGAGGTTGGTGATCATCCTGGCGATCTTAATGTTGTCCACCGCTTAACAGGGATCTGGTGCTAAACCCAAGCCACCGTCTCAAATTCTTTAGCCATGAAATGCGGCGCCTTTTCGATCTTCGGTGGCCCTGGATATTTCCTTGAATTATTAAATTGAAATTGAAATTCAAAATATATTTATTCGTTTTGGCGCTATATTAAAAATGTTCCTTAGTACCGAAGGATTTCTTTTTCTCTTTATTTTAGTAACAAACAGATGTTATAAAAACATATAAATATACAAATAAAAGTAATCTTTACAATAGACATTGAGTGCCGAAAATTTTTTACTTAATTTTATTTTTTAGTGAGCCTAGTGGACTAAAATAAAAACAAAACAATACAAATATAAAGAAAATGAATAAGAAAAAAGAAATAAGAATATTACAGTACAAACATTATAATAATTAAAATAAAAACAAAAAGAGGTTACTTTAGTATTTCGAAACGTTTCTTTCTGTATGTAACTAAGGTGCAACAAAACGGATCCAATTCAACAAACTTTGTGTTATACATATTGACGGAACGGGGTATATAGCAATTACTGGTATAGTTCTTTTTAAATCGTGGTGGTACTAACATGTACCATTATATATATACCAGGATAATATTTTAAGAAAGATGTTACAAATGAATGTGGATGGTTATAAGGGCAGAGGAAGGCCAAAAAAGAGATGGATGGACTGTGTGAAAGATGATATGGTAAGAAATGAAGTAAATAACGCGATGACTACGAACAGGAATGAATGGAAGCGAAAAACATATTACGCCGACCCCAAATAAATGGGATAAGGAAGAAGCAGATGATGATGACCAACATGTACTATTATATACTATAATATACTAAAATGTATTTTTTAATATTTATCTAAAATGTTGTATTGAAATTTTCTAAGCAGCCGTCCAATTTAGTTACATTCTAATTAAACACAAAATATCACCTCTAATCATGAAGAATGACAATAATTAATTTCCATTGCAAAATTCTTGTTTCAAATTAACTGGAGATTGATAGAGGCTTGTTATTAACTTTGGTTTCGTGGTAAAAGGAGATTTCTTAGACATTATTACAGGCATTATGAGGGACGACTATGGTTTAGCGGGTGAAGCAGGTTCGATTCCTCGCATGGTGCAAATTTACATTTATGAATATCATTGTTTGTATCGGTCTACATGTTTTATAAAACCGATACACAAGTAAAAGTAAAAGGAGATTTCTTAGACATTATTACAGGCATTATGAGGGACGACTGTGGTTTAGCGGGTGTAGCAGGTTCGATTCCTCGCATGGTGCAAATTTACATTTATGAATATCATTGTTTGTATCGGTCTACATGTTTTATAAACCGATACACAAGTAAAAGTAAAAGGAGATTTCTTAGACATTATTACAGGCATTATGAGAGACGACTGTGGTTTAGCGGGTGAAGCAGGTTCGATTCCTCGCATGGTGCAAATATTTACATTTATGAATATCATTGTTTGTATCGGTCTACATGTTTTATAAAACCGATACACAAGTAAAAGTAAAAGGAGATTTCTTAGACATTATTACAGGCATTATGAGGGACGACTATGGTTTAGCGGGTGAAGCAGGTTCGATTCCTCGCATGGTGCAAATATTTACATTTATGAATATCATTGTTTGTATCGGTCTACATGTTTTATAAACCGATACACAAGTAAAAGTAAAAGGAGATTTCTTAGACATTATTACAGGCATTATGAGGGACGACTATGGTTTAGCGGGTGAAGCAGGTTCGATTCCTCGCATGGTGCAAATTTACATTTATGAATATCATTGTTTGTATCGGTCTACATGTTTTATAAAACCGATACACAAGTAAAAGTAAAAGGAGATTTCTTAGACATTATTACAGGCGTTATGAGGGACGACTATGGTTTAGCGGGTGAAGCAGGTTCGATTCCTCGCATGGTGCAAATATTAACATTTATGAATATCATTGTTTGTATCGGTCTACATGTTTTATAAAACCGATACACAAGTAAAAGTAAAAGGAGATTTCTTAGACATTATTACAGGCATTATGAGGGACGACTGTGGTTTAGCGGGTGAAGCAGGTTCGATTCCTCGCATGGTGCAAATATTTACATTTATGGATATCCTTGTTTGTATCGGTTTTATAAAACATGTAGACCGATACAAACAATGGTATTCATAAATGTAAATATTTGTACCATGCGAGGAATCGAACCTGCTTCACTCGTTTCATAATATGTATGATTTTCCAAAAAAACAAATATTTTGAGTATCATATCACTATCGACATGGATGGGTTTATTACACAAGAAATTAAGTCAGATATATAAATTAAGAACAAGTTTTTTGCATAACAGATTTGAACTCTGACCTCTTGGGTGTAATTCACGGTAATACCACTACGCCATAACGACCTCAATAACACAGATTATTACATACAGATAATTAATCCACAGATACATAATTATACTACCTGAACAGTGAATAGGGTTGAAAATTCATCCCCAGTTAAAATTAAAGCGCTGTAATTAACTGTAGATAGGACGCTAACGAGTTTATTGGAATATTTTAATTTGTATTTCAACAGACGCAGTTCATAATCCAATAAATATAATAATTAGTTTAAATTTCAGAGTTAACTAATTATAACATAAAGTTGCCCTCAATCAATGTTATGTTCATACATATGTATATAAATTACATTCAGATCATAAGTAAATAAACTTAATTTAAAAAAAAAACAATTCTTCTTGATTGAATCTGTATAGTGAACTGGGCGGTAGTTGTGTTATGGGTACCAGACAATTGATATAAATACTTCAATACATTTTTTGTACATAGATACATAATATGTATAGAAAACACCAGATCACTACAAAAAACATAGTAATTAATTCGAAATTTTAGTACCGTGGGAGGAACTGAACACCCTACCATCAGAAGTAAATTGATACAGTAAACCACTAAACCACTGAGATTATCAAATATAATTAGTCAGGGACTATACCCTACTCATTATTATTATAAAAAATATTAAAATATGACTATTAAAAAATTCTTATATTAAATTTATTTGAATAAAGATTATTTCTATTTCTATCAAATTTATGATATTATGATATATGACTTTTAATGACTGATGTTTCTTAAGGACTGTATATTTTTATATTTAGTCATAAGAGAAACTACGGTCGTTGTAGGTGAAGACATATATTTCAAATTTGACAATAAAAAAGGAACGAAACATAATATATTTAAATATATATAATGATATTTTCTGAGTATCTTTATAAAATAAATTATCTTTATAAAAAAATAAATTTGCTTCTCTGTAAACAAAGAAATGTTTTATTTAATTTTAAAACACTACAATTATTTAACACTGAAATAATGAATCACACATATAACTCACCTGTAAACAAAGAAACGACATTTAAAGTTTATTACAATTATTATTCAACTATTACTGTCTTTTTATAATACAGTTTATATATCCTTATTCATGCACACTTGTTTTTTCACGATCCATTTTTATGTTATTTCTATTGACAGCTCCCTTTGACACTCCTTGCAATCAAAAGCGCGGAACTTCTTTATATATATATATATATATATAAATATAATTATCATAGAAAAAGGTGAGTCATGCACAATGACAATTATATGTATATATATGCTATTTGGAACATGTAATAAACTACCATATACAAATTAAGGTACGAATATCGAATACAGCAATACGAAATAATAGTCATCAGAAGTGTAATGAACAATTTATATACAACAATCCAATTCAAAAGCTCTCAATAAAGGGTACGTATAATGAGTGTTGACAGGAACTAATTGTGCTTGTAATCCTGCCCGCCCCGACCACGTAATAGCGTGGTGATAGGACCGCCTGCCGTGTCGTTTCATAACTAATTAATCAGCTTATGATACTTCTGTACGGAAATTTAAATATTTTAATGAAATTTAACAAATTCAAATTCAAAAATCATTTATTCATGTAGAACACTTTAGGCAATTGTGAACGTAAATTTTGTATATTATATTTTTTTCCTACCGGCCAGTTTACAGATTCAATTGAGAAGAATTGATAAGTTACTCAATAGAATAATCTAAATATATATAACTCAAAGGTGACTGATGTAGTGATTGAACGGTCTGCTGGTCGGCCGACCGTTGAGAGATGTCGTCGTAGTTAAAGAAAAGAGCTTGTTTTAAAAGTAAAATATAATTATTTAAATATCTATGTAATCGTCCGTCTTTTTTCCTTGTCGAGTCTGTCTTGTCAATTCTTTCCTCTGTCCTAGTTACGTCTTATATCCGGCCAGCAAGCAGTCCTGTCAAGGAGGCCGCAACATCCCCACCTCCAGTATTGGAAACCAATACTCTAAGTGCGGACGTCCAGTCTGGCGAGCCTCGTTGCTGGCCGTTTATATAGTCCGGTCGAAGTCAGCACTTCAGCTACTCGGACCCGACCGTCCTTCCCAGGGTACACAGCTGTCACTCGTCCTTTGGGCCACAGGTTGCGGGGAAGTTGGTCATCGACCACAATGACAATGTCATCGATAGTCAGTGGTCGTGTCTCAGTCTGGAACCATTTGTCTCGTCGTGTCAAAGTTGGGAGGTACTCCTTGATCCAGCGTTTCCAGGTCAAGTCGGCAAGCCGTTGAGAGTGCCTCCAGGATCGTCGCAATACCTCACCGTCATTACAGATACTAACAGGTAAGTCAACAGAATCAGTCTTGGTCATCAAAAAGCTGTTTGGTGTCAATGGTAAGTCGTCGTCCTTCTCAATCGGTACGTACGTCAGGGGTCTGTTATTTACAAAATGTTCTGTCTCGGTAAGTAACGTAGACAACACTTGATCACTCGGGGCCGTCTCTTTTAGAGTGACACGAAGCGCTGTCTTGACGGATCTCACCATTCGTTCCCAACAGCCTCCCATGTGAGGAGCATTGGGTGCGATGAAATGCCAGTCGATGCCCTTTACAGTGCCAAAACGAAGTAATTCGTCCTTATCTAAGGATGCTACGGACTGCTTAAGCTCACGGTCGGCTCCTTTAAAAGTAGTGGCGTTGTCACTCCATATTTGTTTTGGGCATCCACGTCGGGCTATGAATCGCCGGATAGCCATAATCGCGCTACTAGTCGACAGGTCATGTGTCACTTCAATATGGATTGCCCTTACCGTGAGGCAGGTGAAAAGAGCCCCATACCTCTTCTCACGATGACGGCCTACCTTCACCAGCATGGGACCAAAGTAGTCCAAGCCCGTAAACTGGAATGGTCGTCCACCAGCTGTCAGTCGTACTTCGGGTAGTTGTCCCATTAAAGGTGGGTCAGGTCTTGCTCTTCTTATTTTACATGCTTGACAGTCGTTCCAGACAGATTTGACAGCATTTCTTCCACCAATTACCCAAAAACGCTGTCTTAAATTATTGAAGACCAGCTCTCGTCCTGTATGGGTTGCGTCTTGATGATACTGGTGCATTAGCAGACGAGTATAATTGTCTTTTGGGTGCAAAATGATGGGGTGCCTAGTATCACTATTAACGTCGGCCTCACTAATCCTCCCACCAACGCGAAGAATGTCGTCTTTGTCTAAAAAAGGTGTCAGCTGTCGCAAGCAACTGTCTTTGTCAATCTGTCCAGACTTCTTCAAACAACTTATTTCATTATGGAATAAGTTTCCCTGGCTTTCTTTAATCCACGACTTTTCTGCTATTTTAATTTCGTCTACTATTAATTCACCCTTCTTTCTATTGTCTTTGTGGGACCAGTTGTATACAGCTCGAAAAAACCAGGCAGTACTTCTTATTAGCCTCCAGAATTTAGAAAAGCGGCTGATATCAGGTAGCTCGAAAGGTACAACTGTTAAGACGCAGAGAGTTTTTACTTCAATGTCTGTATGATCCACAGCTACGTCGTTATCTTCTAATGGCCAGAACTGCTTAGATATACGAAGAAACTGTGGTCCATGTAGCCACCTCACGTTGTCCTCAATCGTCGTGTCTCTTGTAGCGTCATCTGCAGCGTTCAGTCCTGATGGTACCCACCTCCAGTGATTGACGTCGGTTATCTCGGAGATCTCACTGACACGATGAGCGACGAAAGGCTTGAATAGAATAGAATAGAATAGAAAATCATTTATTCAAATAAACTTACATTGAAGCACTTTTGAATAGTCATAACATTTTTTTTTTTTTTAATCTACCGCTCATTCGGAATGCTGTCTCATCACAAGAAGAACAAGCAAGAAACTTGTGTGTTGCTCTTTTAAATAATTTATTCTTACTTACAATTTAAGTTTAAGTGTGTGAATACAAACCACCGATTAGCACTAATTCAATTAAATACTCAAAAAGAAAAAATATTGAATACATAACCAACTGGTTAAACAATTAATAAGAGGAAATCAGTCATAGTGATTAGAGCAGACCAGTCCCTACAAGCAGCACCCGTTCACGAGTATGACGGATGAGCCAGCCATCACTGCGCTCGACCATATTTTAGGGAGCCCAATGACCCGGCCCACCACGCCGCCACAAGTCTGGACATTTTAGTGAGCATGACTACTCAAAACACCAGACCACGTCATAGCTACTCACAATTGCCATCTGATGTTTATAGTATTCACATTTCACATAAGAATGCATGCGGCAATTAATACAAAACCCGCTACGCTTTCATATTTCTAAAATAATTGAATCAAGAAAGCAATGAGATAAACAAATTATAACGTTGTATGCTAATAAACTAATTATTTACTTGATATGTTGTCTTCTATGAATTCGTCTATCCTGTAATAGGCTTTCTTACATAAAAATTGTTTAATATAAGATTTAAATTGCCTCTCTGTCAGATTTAGTGCAGATTCTGGCAGTTTATTATAAAATCTTACGCAATTACCATAGAATGAATTACTGACTTTGTGCAGGCGGCATTTAGGTAAAATTAGCTTATTTTTATTGCGTAAGCTTCTATTTGTACAGTCTTTAAGTTTTCTAAAACTGTCTAAATTGAAACGATCGCTATCAGAACGCAACCAGCTTAAAACAGTCTTAGAGTCAGACCATAGCGTTACGCTTGTGTCAAAGTGTTTCTTCAAGGTCTGAGCTAGCCTAGCGCCCATGAGTGCAGCTTGCAGCTCGAGTCGGGGTATACTCATCACCTTCAGCGGGGCGACGTGAGCACGTGCCATGATGAAGGATACGTGACAGCTTCCGTCTACCGTCTTGATACGAAGGTAAGCAACGCTTGCGTATGCCTTACTACTTGCATCGCAGAATACATGTAGTTCTGTAACTTGTTTGTCACACATGTCAGTAAAGAACCAACGCGGAAGTCTAAACGTACTGATCTTTTGAAGTTCCGTCAACCATAATTGCCACTTCTCGAAGTGACTCGATTCGATTTCGTCGTCCCATCCGATTTTAGATTTCCACACATCTTGTAGGAGTATTCGACCCCTTACTGTGACGTACAGGAGGAAACCCAATGGATCAAAGATGGACATTGTCAATCTCAACACGTCACGCTTGGTTGGTTTCTTTAGCCCGGTTTTAATATCCTCACTTACCTTTGGAAACTTGAGTTCAAAGACAAACTCATCAGTCTCTTGGTTCCAGCGTACTCCAAGTACGCGCTCGACCTGGTCATCCTTGGAGTCGGAGAGAATCTTCAGGCTACTCGGAGCAAGCTTGTCTACAGGTAAGTGCTGTAAAAGTCTTTGAGAATTCGAAACAAAGTTTCTTAAGTTGAAACCACCAGAGGCATGTATACGTATAACGTCATCCACCACTCGTATTAAATCGTCCTCGTCGTCAAAGGAGTGAATGTAGTCGTCGACATAGTGATGGTCAACAATTGCCTTTACAGCCTCAGGACAGGTCGTCTCATATCTGCGGGCATTAATATTTTTGACATATTGTGCTGATGATGGTGAGCAGACTGCTCCAAAGGTCATAACATTCATGACATATATGTCGTCGTTCCACAGAAGTCTCTGGGCGTGTCGGTCGTCTTCTCTAATAAGAACTCTGTGAAACATTTCTTGAATATCTCCAATAACAGAAAATTTACCTATACGGAACCCTAATAGTACGGCAGGCAGAGATGTCAAAAGGTCCGGTCCGCTCATTAAAAAATCGTTGAGTGACCTACCATCAGACTTGGCGGCACAGTCTAGTACTATCCGTAATTTGTTAGGCTTATTAGGATTGAATACGGCAAAATGAGGAAGATACCAGGTTTTGGTTGTCTTGACTGAAGCTTCCTCTAAGGATAGCTTCGAAAATCGTCTGTCTTTTTTCCTTGTCGAGTCTGTCTTGTCAATTCTTTCCTCTGTCCTAGTTACGTCTTATATCCGGCCAGCAAGCAGTCCTGTCAAGGAGGCCGCAACAGTGATCTATCAACGCACAGTCCAAACCAATAGACGGATCGGGCTGAAATTTGGCATGCAGGTAGATGTTATGCGTAGGCATCTGCTAAGAAAGGATTTTGATTAATTCTACCCCCAAGGGTATAAAATAGGGGATGAAAGTTTGTATGAAACTTAGTCAATTTTAAACCGATCGGGCTGAGACTTTGCATACATAAACCTACTATGACGTAGGCACCCCCTAAGAAAAGATTTTGATAAATCCCACCCCTAAGAGGATAAAATAGGGGGTGAAAGTTTGTATGAAACTCAGTCAATTTTAAACCGATCGGCCTGAGAGGTCTATGACGTAGGCATCCCCTAAGAAAGAAACAAAAGTAAAGCTATAAAAACTATACCTAATTAATAATAATACTTCCTAATGCGAGCGAAGCGGCGGGCAAAAGCTAGTTCGAAATATATGTCTTTTATCATCAGCGACCGTAGTTTCTCTTCGAACTAAAAATAAAATATATACCTACTGTCCTTAGAAATCACTTAGTCGTTAAAAACACCCATCGACTTTTTCTAAACGATACTCGGGAACAGCAAGTTTTTCTTTAAATCTACTATTAATGTTATGCAACGGTGTCTCCAGGGGGGGTCATGGGGGTCATGACCCCCCCAGCCCAGGACTTAGGTGGACCACTAATTGAACATAATGATTTTATTTATATATTTTGTTACCATACAGATTTTATGTATCTACATACCTTCAATATTAAATTAATTATATTTAAATAGTGCTTCTCTGGACTTTCAAAGTTACGTTAAACAACATGTTGTTTAAAGTTTTAAAATATAATCCCACATTAACTATCAACGGATTTGTAACGTCTAAATCTTGATAAGTATCTGTAAAAATCACACCAGTATATTTCATCGCGATATTTATTTTTATGAGGTGACAATATACTGTGCAATTCTAAAACGTTATAATATTGTATAAAATATACAATTATATTTAATTGTATGTGTATGTATGTGTATTTATAAATATTGAGCTGTTCCCGCGACTTCATCCGCGTGGAATTTGACTTTATTTTTCTAAAATAAAACATTTTTTTTAAATAAACGTAATCTAAGTTACTCCTTATTACAATAGCTACCTACCAAAAAAAGTCCCGTCAAAATCGGTCCAGCCATTTCAAAGATTAGCCGTAACAAACAGAACAACAGACCGACAGTCAAAAATTATAAAAATTGTTATTTTGGTGTATGTATTCATCTGAATATAAATACGGTTTTACTACATGCATATGCATGTAGTAAGAGACGGTTATTTCAATATTACAAACAGACACTCCAATTTTATTTATATGTATAGATATTTGTATTATATATAATTATGGATTAATTTATAATCATAGTAATTTTTTTTACATTGTTATTTTAAATGGTATGTAGGTAACATTGTTTTTTAAAATTCACTGCCCACATAGATCTCTGTTTGCCAAATGGTTGACTGGGAGAAAAAACCTCATATTGTTAAGTCCGCCAAATGTTTTAAATTCATATATATATATAGGTATATTCATCTTCAGCCCACTGCAGTCCACTGCTGGACATAGGTCTCTCCCAAGGCACGTCACTGGGCAAGATCTTCAGCCCTTTTTTTTAACAGATAGGGTGATTCAAGACGAAGGTTTATATATATAATACATGTACACCCGTGCGAAGCCGGGGCGAGTAGCCATATATTATAAATGTGAAAGTACACATGTTTGTTACGTATTCACGCAAGAACTACTGAATCGATTATCTTGAAATTACCAGATCTTGGAGGTATTTGAATGAATATAGAATACTTGTTATTAAAAAAATATATTATTAATTCATTGCGAGCGAAGCCGCGGGTAGCTTATAAATCAGTAACAATTTTAGTGTCGTATAAAAATGACCAACATACATGCTATACCTGATTATAGTTTGAATACTGAAACAAAACTTTTTTTCATATTATCTTTCGCCATTCTGGTAAAAATAAAAAAAAAACGAGTAACAAAACAAACTACCGCGAGATTAATTATTGAAATAGACAAAGAAAAAAATAGATGCGCCCAAACAATGAGGCGCGGCGTGTCGCCTCAATCTGTCACGGCGCCGGCGAGTGTCACGCCAGCTGTCAGGTGTCACGGCGAGATTGCAGCGACACTCCGACACCTCGGACCGCCCGCGGCCGCCGCGCACCTGAGATTAAAAATTCAAAGAAAATGTTTTGTGTTTTTCCTGATCACCTCCATGTTTACGTCTGTCGTTTTTGATGACTGTTTTTTTGGTTATTTCGTGATAAAAACAAATTGTTTTTTAGTGTAATTAACCGTGAGGCTCGTGAACGAGTGCTTGTAGGGACTGGTCTGCTCTTATCACTACGACTGATTTAATCTTCTGTGTTTTTTATATTTGAGCCTAAATAAATTAGTGTTGGTTGGTAGTTTGTATTCACGCGTTTCGACTTGTAAAATGTGAACTTACAAGGATTATTTAAAAGAGCAACACACAAGTTTCTTGCCTATTCTTCTTGTGATGAGAAAGTTTTCCGAATGAGCGGTAGATTAAAAAAAATTGTTGTCTATTCAAAAAAGTTTAAATTAAGTTTATTTGAATAAATGATTTTCTAATCTATTCTAAGATGTTTGTTCTCATTATAATTATTGGTAGATAACAAAATCTAGGTAATATTTTATTCTTGATTCGTTTTATAGTAATCTCATTAGACGTGAGTTATGGCTGCCAAAACATTTACGCATTTGTATTCCTCGACTAAACTTTATATTGTTTCAGTTTCTATGCTTAAATTTGTTTGTTTAAATCTGATTATATTTGTATTTATATTATACTAGCTACTCGCTCCGGCTTCGCTCATGTGTACATGTATTATATATATAAACATTACTCTTGAATCACTCTATCTATTAAAAAAGCTTCAAAATCCGTTGTGTAGTTTTAAAGATTTAAGCATACATAGGGACGGACAGACAGCGACAGCGACTTTGTTTTATGCTATGTAATATACTTTTAAACTTTCGTGTTTAATATACATTATTTAAATTATTAACCGGGCACGTGGCACGTAGTCACGAGCTGACTGGCTAGTGCAACCTAGTCGAAACGTCGAGAGAGGTAAATACCTTTATTATCCATAAAATTAATTTAAATAATGTAATATAATGATATTATATGTACAGGAAGGTAGGAGAATGTTAGTAGGTAATGAGGACTTATAATGTCATTGTTAACTATGTACCATGTCAGGTTGATATCTACTCGGTTCCAACTGGAAACCATCATGATAAGTTCTTGGTGAATTTGTCACATAGGATAACTGACATGACTTCATGCTCATCTCATCTTCCATGGATTCCCTGGAAACCATCGTAATAAATTCCCGACGAATTTTGTCACGATGGGTTGACTGATCTGACCGTAAGATGAACCTTATCATCCTCTTCTGGTGTCCCGCCAGGGTAAACCTTTTGCGTAGGCAGGTACAACATTATCATCCTATAAAAAATATATAAATATATACAAAAAAAGAAATGTATTTAAGTATCATTTATCTAAGTAGTATCCCATGTAGTAATAGTGCACTTGATGTTGCGTTCACTGTTTTATAGACTTGCAATTGCCGTCTCTATACATATATGTTTATTGCATCCATTTTTTTATAGACTTGCAGTTGACATGTCTATTCACATATATTTGTTGCGTCCACTATTTTATAGACTTGCAGTTGCCATGTCTATACATACATGTTTGTTGTGTCCAATTTTTATAATAGACTTGCAGTTGCCATGTCTATACATACATGTTTATCGCGTCCAATTTTTGTAATAGACTTGCAGTTGCCATGTCTATACATATATATTTGTTGCGTCCAATTTTTGTAACAGACTTGCAGTTGCCGTGTCTGTTCATATATATTTGTTGGATCCAGTTTTTTTTATAGACTTGTAGTTGCCGTGTCTATTCGTATGTATATCCATGGTGATAGTGCACTAATTCACAAAATAATGTACACTAACTGTTGTCGCCGAGATAGAACGTATCTAGTTTGAAACAACATTAATAATTTGACGCACGATTCCGTGCGACGCACTCTATTTTAGTGCGTGCAGTATAAACACCTAAGGCAGTTTGTGCCAGGAAATTTTTGGCAGTGTCTGACATTTTTTGCGGCAATATGGCCCAGGTGATCTGGGGACAGCGCGTTAATACAACAGCTGTTTTATACTCTGTGCAGTGTAACATGGCGCGGGTGACAGTTCCGTTTCACTCTTGAAAGTTTGCCGGGATTTACAGTTATTAGTATCTGAGCTGGTCCAACTTTCGTGATATTGATAAATATAATATAATCATTAAAAACTGTAGTAAATTAAATTTAACCCAGACAGAATGTTCTAATCTAGACATAACGCTATAGTCTAGCGGTTTAGCACGCGCCTTACTTCCGATGGTCACTTGTTCGATTCCTCGCACAGCACACACATTTGTATTGTTTAGTATGATTGTTTGCATCGGTCTGGGTGTTATATATATATGATGAAAAGAAATATATGTATTTGTATTAGTTATCTAGTACCCATAACACAAGCTTCTGCTAGCAGAACTTGGGTCTAGATGGTGTTGTG